CCACTTGGCATTTGGGGGCTGAGGGGCTCCATAACGTGGGTTTAGGGTTTAGGGTTTAGGGTTTAGGGTTTAGGGTTTAGGGCTTATCGGGCGTAGGGTTTACGGCATCCTTGGCAGAGAAGCTCCTCCAAAGCACAAGCCCTCGTGAAGATACTTCCTTCAAAACTAACTGCAGCCCCCAAACCCGGCAGACTGAACCCCTCTTCGTAATTGCTGGGGCTTAGGGTTTAGGGTTTAGGGTTTAAGGTTTAGGGTTGAGGTTTTAGGGTTTAGGGTACCCGTTTCAAAGAGGATTCTACCACTGATTGGGCGATGCCTTGAAAAGGGCAGGGCAAGGGTCTGTGAAAGGGCCTCAGTGGCGGTATCTCGAGCAGCTTAAAGGACTTTGTTTTGGCAGGGCGTTGGGCTTCGGGCTTTGAGGGTTTTGGTTTTGGGGGCGTTAGGGCTTTGGGGGTTCAGGGCTTTAGAGTTTAGAGTGTTGGGTCTAGGGTCAGGGATGATTTTAGGGCTCTGGCTTTGGGGTAGAATTGTTGAGAATTAGGGAACGGAATTGGGGTTGAGGGTTTGTGGGAGTCCTCTACATATCATGGGTTCCCCTACTACCCCTCAATACAACCCCATCTAGGTTCCCCCCATAATTAAGGCTATTTCGGGGAAATGTATAAGCCTACTTAAGGTTCTTTAAGGGGGGGGAACCTGGTATCCCCAAACCCTAAACCCGAGCCCCTAAACCCTGAACCCGTTAGAGAATGTCCTAACTCCCTACAGAGAGTCCCTACTTGGAGGTTCATGGTACTTAGTAACTAGTTATAACTGTACTTATCACCATATTAGGCCACTCAAGGGTCTTATAAGTGGGCTATAAGTACAGATATAGCTGGTTAATAAGTACCCCTAAACCCTAAACCCTAAACCCTAAACCCTAAGCACCATGAGCCTCCAAGTCCGGCACAACTCGAAGTCGACATCCCAAAACTCTACGATGGAGAGGGTGGTTTCTTGGTGCTGGAAATTGGGAAGGGCATGACTCTATGATCCCTAAACCCTAAACCCTAAACCCTAAACCCTAAACCCTAAACCCTAAACCCTAAACCCTAAAACCCTAAACCCTAAACCCATGCATCCCACGCCCCAATAGCACCCAAAAGCCCCCGAAAATCCCTCCGGGCGTGCGGCCCACAGCGGTGGGAGCAGGCTCCCCAGTCGCTCCAGTGTGTCAGCTTGCAGGGCCTCTTTTGAGGAACTTTAGGGTTTAGGGTTTAGGGTTGAGGGTTCAGGGTTTGGGGTTTAGGGTTTAGGGTGAGGAATCATCGTCTGAGGGCTTTGGGGGGGTTTAGGGGGTGTAGGGTCTTTAGGGTTTAAGGGGGTTTAGGGGGCTTAGTGTTTTGGGCTTTGGGTTTCATCATTCTTCCGAGGAATCGTCGTTGGAGGGTTTAGGGGGGTCTAGGGTTTAGGGTTTAGAGGGTTTAGGGAGTTTAGGGAGTTTAAGGAGTTTAGGGGGTTTAGGGAGTTTAGGGTGAGGAATCATCGTTTGAGGGTTTAGGGGGTTTCGTGTGTAGGGTTTGGGGGGTTTAGGGCTTAGAGGGTTTAGCGGGTTTGGGGGGTTTAGGGGGGTTTCGCGGGGTTTAGGGGGGTTTAGGGGTTTATTGGGCTTAGGGGTTTGGGGCTGAGGGCTTGCGGAATTCGAAGGCGCCTCCTCCTTGAATCCCAAGCACTCCCTAAGACCTCCCTAGAAGGCTCCATAAGGCTTCCGCAGATGGGTTCCTCTTATATATGGGGAAAGAGAAAGAGACAGAGAGAGAGAGAGAGCGAGCGAGCGAGCGAGACAGACAGAAAGAAGAGAGAGTGAGAGAGACAGTGAGAGAGAAAGAGAGAAAGAAGCTAGAGTAAATAGAGCAAAAGTTGTCCTGGGGCTCCCTTACCCTCAGCCTTCAACCCTCAACCCTCAACCCCACGCCCTCAACCCTAAACCCTAAACCCTAAACCCTGAACCCTGAACCCTGAACCCTGAACCCTAAACCCTAAACCCTAAACCCTAAACCCTAAACCCTGAACCCTAAACCCTAAACCCTAAACCCTAAACCCTAAACCCTAAACCCTAAACCCGAACGAGAACTGCACACTTGGTGACATGTGAGGGGCTAGGTGGCCCGGAGAACCCGAGAACCCGAAAAACCTGGGGCACTTTGAGTCTCAACCCTATGAAGCCCCTGTAAAGGCCCGATAATTTATTCAGGGTTGAGGGTTAAGGGCTTAAGGGTTGAGGCCTTAAATCTCCCCCATGTTACCCTCTGGGGGGATTCTAACGGATTATGTAGGACACCTAATTTCCGAAATCGCTACAAAGAACGGAAACTTAAGCAAGTCAACAGAAGCCCTTGAATCCCTACGAAGCCCTGAACCCTTAAGCCCTTGAAGCCTTAGGTCCTGGCCCTCTCTCTCTCTATATTAATATGACTACATCTCGATCTGTATGTAGACATGTCCCTACATACAGTAGCCCAAAAACCTTCCCGAGTGTAAGCCTAAACCCTAAACCCTGAACCCGAAACCCTAAACCCTACGCCCCAACTTCATCCAAGTGGCCGGTTCGAGCAGTCCTGCTCTCCGCAGGGCTCGATCTCCATGAGGTTTGTGGAATTCAAGACCTTGGACAAAATACCCAGGGACTTACTTAAAATTTAGTGCTTTGGTTAGGGCTGTAGGCTGCCATGCAACTCTCAACTCTACACCCGCGAGAACCAAAAAGGTCTAAGCCTTAAACCCGAAGCCTGGGAACCCCAGTGTTCTGCACTTGTCTACGTCTTGTGGAGGACGTGGGTTCTTTCCTCCAGCTGCATTTTTCAGCGCAAACATGGGGGGGAGAGGGTGGGGAGCGGGGGAGGAAGCATTCTGCCGGTAGACTGATCGCAAAAGTCTGCAAGTACTCCGCTGCAAAAAATCCATGAAGCTCTACTGCTGCTGCTGCTGCTACAATGAATTTCTGCACAAAATTTGCCGTGTAAGTTTGAATCGCAATATACCTTACTGGTTAGTGCTCTTGAAATCCAATGTCGGATATGCCACCTGCGAGGAAGGATCTAGTTCCTGTTCGTATGGGTTGTGAATGAGTTATTTGTTTGTAGGTTTGTCTGATGTGTTCAGTGTTCATCACAACAGGGGACATGCATTTCTTCGAAAGTGACGAGTTCTCCTGCGCGCTTGGCGCGGAGACCCATGACAGACATTTGTGTCGGAGGCGTCTTGGGGGGGCGGTTGCTATGCAAATATGTAAATACGTATGTAAATGTACGCAATCGTATATGTGAACGTATGTCAACGTATGTGAACGTATAAGGGAAGGTATGTGCATGTACTTCAACGTGTGTACGTTTGCATGTATGGCATACATACATGAATGCATGCATGTCATATGATGTGTACTATAGGGCCTTAATAATTAGAATAGAGTTTGGTGGGAGGGGTTGTTGTGGTACTTATCATCAAATAGGGGCCGGGTGAATACTATTCGTAACCAAGCCCTGCACCCTAAACTCTATAAACCCTATAAACCCTAAACCCGAAGCCCTAAACCCTAAACTCCTACCCCTAAACCCTAAACCCTAAACCCTAAACCCTAAACCCTAAACCCTAAACCCTAAACCCTAACCCTAAACCCTAAACCCTAAACCCTACAGTAGACAGAGTTCTTGGCCCTGCACGTGGCAGGTCTTCTTCATGGACTCGAGGACTTTTCTGCTCCGGACTCTGTTGCCGGAGCACTCATGGGAGCCTGGGCCGAATTTGTGGTTTAGAGTAGGGTCTAGGGTTTAGGGTTTAGGGTTTAGGGTTTAGGGTGTGGGGTTTAGGGTTTAGGGTTCAGGGTTTAGGGTTTAGGGTTTGGGGTTTAGGGTTTAGGGCTTAGGGTTTAGGGCTTAAGAGGCTCTTAAATTTAAGGCTTGGGCTCTTAAATTTAGGGTTTAGGGTTTAAGGTTTGGGGTGGGGTTTGGGGCTTGTCTTTCGGGGTGAACGCTCTAGAGGCCGAGGTTGGGTGCATATACGATTTGGGGTGTAAGGCTTGTAAAGGAGTGCGGGGTAGGGTCTGGAGTAGAATCTAGAGGGCAATGGAGCATAAAGGCTCGGGGTTTCCGAGCGTTTGGGCGTCTACAGCTCCACGCGCACCCATCTTCGTTAAGCCTAAACCCTAATTGCTGCGACATCCTGGACCTCAGAGTACCAGTTCAAACGAAATGGGCGTCATGTAGACTGCAATCCCTTTTCCTCCGCGCGAAGCCGCTGCAAGCAGCAAAGGTAACCTGAGTGGTGCTTTAAAACCCTTTGAAGATGAATTATGAATAGGTTTCCTTAAAAGGGAAAGAAGGGAGATTTAAAATACCCTATAACCTATCACCTAAAACCCTAAACCCTATAACCTATAACCCAAAACCCTAAAAACTCAAACCCTAAACCCTAAACCCTACCCAGTCGCGCAGTCGGTGTCCGGCCCGCCTCAGCTGCTGGGCCGCCCTGCCGTAACCCGCCGCGCAGGGTCCACTGGGGTCTGAAGCTGCCAAAGGCAGTGAGGGAGCGTTCATGCCTAGGTTGGCCCTTTAAACTCCCTGAAAATCTGGTTACGTAGGATCCTTTAAGACAAGGTAAGGGAAGATTATTCTCACATATGATCCTTGAAAAAAATATGAGTTAATCCGAGCATCAGTTTACTTCATACCACCACATTTAAAGGCTGTTTTTCGTCGAGAAGCCTGCCGGAAGACTACTTTCCATTGCGGTGGTTTTCGTATGGGCCAATACCACCACATTTAAAGACAATGTTTTCCGGGGATTCAAAAATCTGTCGGCAGGCTTCTTGTTTTGCTTGCGGGGCTGCGAAGTTACAGCACCCCAGGGATCTGCAGCCTATTGTTTTCAATAGAGAATCAATACATTGCAATGATCTTATTATTGCTGAACCCTGTCTTTCTTATTGCGGGGGGGGGGGCCCAATTAAACAGATGCTCGGATTATGAAGGAGAGTATTTAAACTTAAACAACAACAAATATCCCAAGGGCCCTACCCAGATGCTCTCCGGCATGGCCCCCCCAGGATCGTTCGTTAACTCGGCAGCCTTCATGTTGCTGCCATGCGTCACGGCGCCCGCCTCCGCCAGCATCTGTGTCACCTTGAGGTGACCTTGCTGAGCTGCGACGAGCAGGGGGGTTAGGCCACATGCGGCGGCTGATTCCGTGTCCGCGTTGGCATCACAAAGGAGGCGGACTATGTCGCAGTGGCCTTCCTGAGCTGCCATGAAGAGTGCTGTGGCACGTCCAGGCCCGACTCTGTTGCTGTCTGCACCCATGTCCAGCAGGAATCGTGACAGATGGGCATGGCCTCTATACCTTGGTAGCCCAGTAACCATACTATAAGAAGGGCACCCTTGTTGGGTTGGGTACTTTATAAGGGAAACCAGGGTGCCACTGGGCTGCCAAGATACGCAGAGATGAACAGAGGTGCTGTTCCTGGTGGATCGATCTCGGCGCCATTCTCAATCAACAGCTGTACAATGTCCAGGTGACCTTCATGAGCCGCCAAGCAAAGAGGAGCATAGCCAGCCTTCGTGGCCTTGTTCCTGGGATGAGGGTTCAGGGTTTAGGGTTTAGGGTGTCGGGTTTCGGGTGTAGGGTTTAGGGTTTAGGGTTCAGCGTTTAGGGCGGAGGGCTCTTGGAAAGCATCTGAGAAATATTCCTCAAATATGACCCTCTGGAACCCAAGCAGGGAAAAAATAAAATCATCATCTCAAGAGCCCAGCCTAGGTTCATGTCAGCGCCAGCTTGAAGCAACAAGCGCACGATGCCAGCGTCGCCTTGGTAAGCCGTTTCAGCCAATGCCGTGTAGCCATCTGCGGTGGCATCGTCGATGTTGGCGCCTGCTTCCTTGGCTGCACTTGGGAGGGTGGCTATAAACTAAATTTTTAGCTGCCTAATCAAGAAACCCAATAAGCCCAAAAAGGCTCAGGATCTAAAGGTTACAGTAAAGCACCACAAAGCTTCCATCAGCAGATGAAGAAATTCAGCATGAAGCCCGCCAGCTGCAGCGATCAGCGGAGTGCAGCCTTCTTGTGTGGTGCTGTCCGTGCAGCTACACGCCTCAAGCAGCAAACGCCCCACGCCAACGTGACCTCTCTCAGCAGCAAGATAGAGGGGAGTGACTCCTACCTTCCATTCCTTAGTTGCTGAGTTCATAAGCCCCAAAAAAGTGTACCCTTTCAGCTCCATAGGGGATTAGAATGGATTATACTATCCCAAAAAGTGACCCTAAACCCTAAACCCTAAACCCTAAACCCTAAACCCTAAAAAGTGTACTCAGCCACTAAGATTCCGCGTCGCAGTCCGCGCCTGCCAGCACCAGCAAGCGCGCCACCTCCGCGTGGCCACCTCGCGCAGCCAGCAACAAGGCCTCTGCCTTGCTATCCTCCGAGGCACCTGCGTAGGGTTTAGGGTTTAGGGTTTAGGGTTTAGGGTTTAGGGTTTAGGGTTTAGGGTTTAGGGTTTAGGGTTTAGGGTTTAGGGTTTAGGGTTTAGGGTTTAGGGTTTAGGGGTCCGAGGCACCTGCCAAAAGCAGCAGCCGAACCACCTCCACATGCCCAAGATGAGCAGCCACACCTGCACCATTGTTGGGGGCACTATTTAAAATAATCATGTTTGTTCCTTATCGGTTTAAGTACTCATAAACATGTAAAATGATGTTCAATACTGACCCAAACACCCAGAGGTGTGGTGCCATCTGCAGTTACGCATCTCTGACTGGCACCGGCCTGAAGCAGAAGGCGCACCAGGTCACCGTGTCCTTCCTGCGCTGCCATGAACAGGGGGGTGGCGCCGCCGACGTTGACACTGTTGCCGTCCGCACCTCGGTACCCCTTGTATTTCAAAACTATCTGAAAAGTGTTTCAAAAAAAGAGATCCTCTTAAAAAAAAACCCACACAAAAAAGGAACAATGTACCCTAAACCCTACAAACCCTGTCGAACCAGTAAGGGAATATCTCTATATATATATATATAACCAAACCAATGAAGGGCTTACCGCCAGTACCGCCAGTAAAGGCCTTAACCCTACACCCCAAACCTTAAACCCTAAAAACCCTAAAATCCCTCAGAACCCTACAAACCCTAAACCCTAAACCCTAAACCCTAAACCCTAAACCCTAAACCCTAAACCCTTACCCAGGCACCCGCTTCAAGCAGCACCCGGGCCACCTCGAGGTGCCCCTCCTGGGCTGCCAAGAAAAGTGCGGTGGCGCCATCTGCCTCTGCCTCCGTGTCCACCCCGGCCTTCACCAAACGAAGCTAGGTTTAGGGTTTAGGGTTTAGGGTTTAGGGTTTAGGGTTTAGGGTTTAGGGTTTAGGGTTTAGGGTTTAGGGTTTAGGGTTTGGGGTTTGGGGTTTGGGGTTTGGGGTTTGGGGTTTGGGGTTTAGGGTTTAGGGTTTACAGTAGGGTTTAGGGTTTAGGGTTTCGGGTTTAGGGTACCCCGGCCTTCACCAACAGGCGTACCATCTCCTGGTGACCACCCAAGGCTGCCAAAGCCAGCGGGGTGAAGCCATCGCGGGCGGCCGCGCCCGCCTCTGCGCCTGCCTCGAGCAGGGCGCGCGCTGCCTCCACGAAGCCCTCCTTGGCGGCGATTCGCAGGAGCTCGGTCGTCTCAGCCGCGCTGAGGTCGCTCGGCAACGGAGGACCCTCTGCAGCAGTGCGGGCACTGAACCCCTGCGCGGAGTCCGCAACGTGCTCGAGCAGGCTGACTTCCACGTCTTGGTCGGTGTCCTCGGCCGAAGAACCGTCCGTGTCCCCCACCTGGTTCAGTCCGCGGCAGAAGGCCGCAACGTTCAGCGGAGGCTTGAGTGGCAGTTCGAGTGCCCCATGGAAACCTTCCAGGATGGGCTATTAGATCCCATAATCAACCCTGGGGCCTTTTTTAAAGGAGTTACGGGGTAGAATAGCCCGTCCTGGTTCCTTCTCACAGATCGATTGCTTGAGGCCGCTCGCCCAGTCTGTCGTTGGGTGTCCGTGAAGCTTCAGTGTCTTCACCAAACCACCAGTTGCCCCTGCCATGAGGTGAACTTCGGCCTCGTTAAAGGTGGCCACCTCTTTGCCAGAAATGTCTTGGACATGAAGCAGGCAAGGCATGGTTGGGGGGTGCACCCAACAGCACAGTAAGAAGCAACGCGGACAATACCCCCCCCCCGCCTCCTCCAATTCCGTATAAATCCTACATACCCCACATGTACATTCTACACAAACACCATGCTCTATGTACGTTGGTTTCTTCCATACAGCATCCCTACACAGTGCCCGCCAGCATGATCCTTCGAGTAGTGACGCTTCTTCCTGTGAGCCTCTGGACGAATGAGTGCCACTGCAGGGTGACACCATGAGGAGCCACCTACTTTCACATCGCCTGTGGACTCCTCAACCATGGACTCCTTGTAGGGCAAATACTACGTACACCCTAAACCCGAAAAACCCTAAACCCTAAACCCGGCGGAGGGTCTTTGCCCGCTTGGCGCAGTACTGAGGGCACTGCATTCTCCCCACGGAGACCAGGGCGTGAGCTTGCAAACATGTGGCCTTGGGTTTAGGGTTTAGGGTTTAGGGTTTAGGGTTTAGGGTTTAGGGTTTAGGGTTTAGGGTTTAGGGTTTAGGGTTTAGGGTTTAGGGTTTAGGGTTTAGGGTTTAGGGTTTAGGGTTTAGGGCTTAGGGCTTAGGGCTTAGGGCTTAGATGATGGCAGGCCCGGGTCCAGGCTTTACTGGGGCTCAGGGCTGCTGACATAGGGGGCCTCTTCAACTAGGATGGAAATTCGGGTAGCTATAATCCCCATACTGATCGTACAAACGGCCTTTTTAAGGGGTGATAGGGAATAATGGCACGTCCTGGATGATTGTAAGGGACTAGTCTTGGCTTGCGGGCGCAAGGCCGCGGAATCCATGGGGTGCGCAGACTTGGAGCAGGAAGGATGTTCGGGGGCTTCGGGTCTAATTACCATGGCAGACAGGGTTTAGGGTCTAGGGCTTGGGGACCCTAAACCCTAGACCCGAAACTGGGGCTCTTGTACCCCAAAGGTTCCGAGGACTCCTTCTATTTTCAGGTTTGTGGGGCCCAACACCTTCTCCGAAAATGCTTTCTGGCTATTTAGAGGGCCTAAGGGTTACCCTAAGGCTGTAAGGACTCCTTTTTTAAGTTTTATGAACCCAACCGCCTCATTATGGAAGTTTTTTTGCTGCTGCGTTGAGCCACTGGGTTGGTGTTGAGGGCTTAGGGGGGGGGGGGGGGTTGTTTATTTTTTGTTGCAGGGTTTAGGGCTTAGGGTTGTTTAGGGGGTTGTCGTGTAGGTTGTGGGGTTTCGCTTCTGGTTCAGGTGAGGGTTTAGGGTTTAGGCTTACGTTTCTTGGACTTTGCTCCCGAGGGCGCGACGCGTCTGCATCAATGTGGCAACCTGAGTTGAGGTTAGGGCTTCGGGTCTATAGAGTTTACGATTTGGGGTTTAGGTGTTGCGGCTTTAGAATTTGGAGCTTTTAGGTTTAGGGTTTGGGGGTCGTAAAGGTTCAGAGTTTACGGTTTGAGGTCAGCGCAATTCTACAGCATAGCAGGCTGTCCAACTAGAATAGGATTTGTATTGTACTCATATATGCATCACAGGGCAGGTGGTATTTGTTTTGTTCAGACCCAAGATCTAAACCACCCGCCAGCCTTATGTATATGTATATATATATATATATAGTAGTACTCCAAATTGGGCTCCTTTTTGGGTCCTGCATATAGTACCGCATTCTTATTGTCAGGACCCCATCAGGGACCCTAGTTCAGAGAACTACCCACAACGAGTTTAAGGTTGAGATGGGGATTTGGAATGTAACGACTTGCAAGCATACTTTGGCAACAAACGGCCTTCAGTTCGTTCAGAATGAACTTCTTCATGCAAGAGGCACGAAGTCACCAAGTGCTAGCAGGCTCGGCATTTGGCATTGTATGATTCGCCTTTGGGTTGAGGGTTTAGGCGGCGCCTTTCATCACTTCGCGCAGCCTTCGAAGGCTTCTAGACAAAGAACTTGCCCGCGAACCATTCAAATCCTAGGCCCGTGGGCCCTCAACCCTAATTCTAACAACACGGGCCAGTGGCCTTTGCTTTCCTGCAGCGTGTATTCGCAGTAGAGCTCCTGCATGCTGGGTCTTGGTAGGGCCCTTGAGGGCTTTTCGTGCTGCTGGTAGGGGGTCATGGATCAGAGCTCCTCTTAGTAGGGCTTGTAGGGGTGCATGCAAACTAATGGGGGTGGCTCCTTGGTCGCCCGCCTGGCGGCTTCAGGTATTTGGGCACAAAAGCCCTACTATAAAAGGTTTTTGGGGCTTAGGGTTTAGGATTTAGGGTTTAAGGTGTGGGGGCTGGAAAATCAAGGCTTGAGGCGACGGCAGAGGCTTCTTTGGGGAGTCGAGGTGGACGGCTAACCTTGAGAGTTGTAGATAAACAGTCCTGCCTCTGCTTCAGGCTGAAAACATAAATAAATTAATATATATATATATACATATATTTGTGTATACATATATAGACATATACTTACATATTCTACTATTTGCTTAAGAATCACCAGAATCTCTCTCTCACTCTTATAAGGAAGACTAATTATATTTACTTTTTTTGAGGGATTCTTAAGCAAATAGTCAGAGAGCACATCCCCTACAAACCTTGCAACCCCTACACCCTAAACCCTAAGCCCGAAACCCTAAACCCTAGACCCTAAACCCTAAACCCTGAAACGCCCTGTAGAACCGCTGCGACTCCTTAAGCCCCTGAAGCCCTCGACCGCGGCCAGGCCGCAGAAGGCCCTAAACCCTAAACCCTAAACCCTGAACCCTGAACCCTAAACCCTAAACCCTAGCCCGGAACCCCTCTTCCCCAGGCTCCTGGGACGGAAGAACATCGGGTACCTGACGCGGGCTCTCAGGGTGTAGGGTTTAGGGTTTAGGGTTTAAGGTTTAATTAGGGTTTAGGGTTTAGGGTTTAGGGTTTAGGGGTTAGGGTTTAGGGTTTAGGGTTTCGAGTGTAGGCTTTAGGGTTTAGGGTGTGCACTCACGGGTTTCGGATGTTTACATTCAGATTCAGCGGCATGTCGGGCCTACTCCATTTACCTTACTCGTACAATGAACTTCGGGATTATGCAGGGGTTCTACCACAAATAAGCTTACTTCTCCAATAACTCAGGGAACAAAAAAAAGTAAAACTGTTCTTTTCCCAAAAAGTTTTGAAGTTCTACTGTATATGCATGAACGGGGGGCATCTTAGAGGCGTAATGGCGTAAGGGCTATCAAGAGGGCTTCAGACTCGGACGGCCCTTACATTCTTTCAGAGGATCTTGAACCCGGTCCCCAAACCCAGGGATACAACCTTAGCGGTCGTAGGAGTCCCATAAGCTTAGGGTCTGCAGGCTCTGTAGGTCTTCGGCTTGATTAAGAATCGGGCATACGGCAACCACAACTCCTAAGCCCGCAAGTGTGGTTCCAAGGACTAGCAGCGGGACCATTGTATGGGATCTTGGGGGTTCTTTAGGGGCCACTTATGGTATATAGGGACTACTATAAGGTGTATACACGGGTGGTATAGGGGAATAAGATTAAGGGTCCCTACTAGGGGTTCCCTCCTTTCTATCCCTTAGGTGGTAGCTTCGAACTGCCCTCCCGCCCCGAAGACTTGAAGAGCCGCAATCTTCCATTGCCGAGCGCCGGCGACGAAAACCTGCTAACCCTAAACCCTAATCCCTAAACCCTGAACCCTACCAGCACCCCCCCAACCACCCTAAACCCTAAACCCTAAACCCCAAACCCTAAACCCTTTACCCAGAATGGAAGGGTATACAAGCCCCGCCTTTTTGAAAGGGTAGTTGGGGGGCTGCAGAGAAACCCTAAACCCTGCGAAGCCTGCATCGGACTCTAAACTCCTGAACTTCCCCGACATAATCGCCCTAAACCCTAAACCCTGAACCCTGAACCCTAAACCCTAAACCCTAAACCCTCAATTTTCCCTCTGCCTCCTTCACCTCGCGCTTGCGGAACCGCTGGAACATGGTCTGCGAAGGAGGGGCGGTTTAGGGGTACCTTCTTGGGGGTTTAGGGTTTAGGGTTTAGGGCTTAGGGTTTAGGGTTTAGGGTTTAGGGTTTAGGGGTGCCCTATTGGGGGAACTGAGGGTGTACCTGGGACTCTATCTACCTACAGTGCAGAAGTAACTACCTTTAATTTGCAAGTATGACCCATAAAACTGCAGGTAAAGATAAAGAGGGTCCCAGGTATCCCTAAACCTAAACCCTAAACCCTAAACACTAAACCCTAAACCCTTAAACCCTCTTGGGGAGGCTTCGGGTTCCGCTTTTGATGGGGGGTTTGGAACGCGGTGATCCGTTAAAGTCCGCTCCTGACCTGCTTCAGGTGACTGCTCTTTAGGGTTTAGGGTTTAGGGTTTAGGGTTTAGGGTTTAGGGTTTAGGGTTTAGGGTTTAGGGTTTAGGGTTTAGGGTTTAGGGTTTAGGGTTTAGGGTTTAGGGTTTAGGGGGTCTCTGGCTGAAACAGGACATAGCGCGACACGTGGTGAGGCAGGGCTTCACGGGCTTGGTGCCTAGGTGCACCAAGCCCAAAACCCAACAACCCTGAGAAGCCTCTCGAAGGTTCAGGGTACTTATTAACGACTTAAAGCTGTACTTATAAGTGTACTTATTAACTAATTAAACCTGTACTTATTAACTAATTGAAGCTGTACCAAATTAACAAATTAAAACTGTACTTATAAGTGTACTTTACAGCCATATTAGGGCACTTTCATGGCACCTGCAAGCTTTCAGCAACAGCTGACTTGGAAGGACCCCAGGTAAGCTGTGACCCTGCAGCTCACCAAGCGACCTTCAGACATCCCAAGCCCTGGACCCCAAAAAGCCTACTCTATTATTTGCTTAAGAACCCCAAAAAGAGTTAAACAAAAAATAATAGTCCCTATATTACCCTGAACAAGGAAGACTATTTTTGACTTTAAACCCTAAACCCTAAACCCTAGACCCTAAACCCTAGACCCTAAACCCTAAACCCTAAACCCTAAACTTAGCACACGTCTTCCAGAAGCCCGACCCGACGCCCGAAGCTCACGAGGCCT